TCTATTGTTTTTCAGGCTGCGCCGCCAACATGGAGCAGGGCATGCAACAGGCCTTGCATACGCTGCGTGATCTCTGCTCCAGCAATGGGTATGAGCTGCAGGATTTGTGCTTTACCACGCTCTATGTGCGCTCCATAGCCGAGTATCCGGCATTGAATAGCATCTATTTGCAATCGTTTGGCTTTCATAATCCGCCCACGCGCGTTTGTGTAGAATGCCCGCTGCCGGATGATTGTCATGTGATTATGGAGGCCATTGCCTACCATGCGCCGGCCATACACAGCGGCGATGATAGCGAGGAGACGCAACAGCTGCTCAATGGCCGGCGAAACACGATGCATGTCCAGGGCATATCGCATTGGGCGCCCGCCAATATCGGGCCCTATAGCCAGTCAACGCGGGTGAGCGGTTGGGCGGTTGGGCGAGGGCGCAAATAATCGCACACACAGTCGCTTACATTGTACCCCTTGTACCGCATTCCAGATTGGCGACATCACCTACATCTCGGGCCAAATTGCACTCGTGCCGGGCAGCATGACAATCATCGAGGGCGGCATCCGGCCCCAGTGCAAGCTCACATTGCGTCACATCAGTCGCATTGCCAAGGCAATGAATGCCCAGGGGCAGCTGCGCGATGTCGTCCATGGCATTTGCTTTGTCACCCATCCCGCATTCATTGGCGAGGCGCGCCGCCAGTGGGAGCGTCGCACCACAAACGCCATCATGGATTATATTGTGCTCCCAGCGCTACCCCGCGAGGCGCTCGTCGAATGGCAGGTGTGGGCACACACCCATAACGATCGTTTCGACTGTAAGTCCTATTGACGTCATGTATTAGACAGAATCAGTCATCTCCGACCCGATAAAGTATATATATATATGTATATTCCTGATCAGCAGCATCAGTCAGCTCCATCTAGCCATATCTGTCCGTATGTTTAAAGGCATCAAGAACTTTAAGAAGTTATCTTGAATGTAGCCTCTCTTGTTGCTCGCGCAGATCAAGTTTCTTTCAACTCAAAATCGATATCGATATCTTGTTTTTTGACCATATCTCGAAATATCTTTTCACACACAGCCAGAATAGTTTGCTTTTTAGACACCTTCCCTTCCATTACCTTATAAAAAGGGAACTTTTTTGGTTATAGAGAAATGACTTCGAAGTGCTTTTATACAAAAACTTTTATTCCGATCGATTGTTCCCAGAGAAGTCACATAGATATGATAGTCCGATTGGATTCGATTTTGCATTTATGCGGAAGGAATAATAAAGTTCATAATTGCAGAGTTTGGTGAATAAATATTGTTTTTTCGACTGATTGCTTTAATGACTACCAATAGGTGATGTTATAGCAATCCGATATGGATACAACTTTGATCGTAGCTTAAAATCAAGACGGAACTCGTAATTGCAGACTATGGTAAAAAAAATCTTGGTTTTCCATAGAAAACCTTACTATCAACAGATTGTTTCTATAGGCAGCTGGTATGGTATTTATAGTTATCCGATGTGGATACAATTTTGATCATATTTAAGGAGTATAGTAAATTTCAGAGCTTGAAAAACCGATATGGATATAAGTTTCATCATATCTTTGGAATCTTGCAGAGCTTGAATAGGATATCTTGAAAATGAAATATTCCGAAATGTTTTCCATACCAAAAAACCTCTTTTCTATGACAGCAATATATTTGCTATAGTGTTCCGATACGGCCGAATCCTTGCTAACTCGCATCACAATAGCGTTAAAGCTGAGAGACGAGAAACAGACTCGACTCTTGTTACTGATCCATAGTTAATATACATATATACTTTATAGGGCCAGAGACGTCTCCTTCCTGACCAAGTTATAATTAATACTTTCTATTTTGAAAACGATAATCAATTGATTGTGTTTAATTGCAGATGAGGAAACGGGCTGCTCGGTTAGCGATTATACCATCTCGATACGTCGTCGCTGGAACTATGAGAACAATTGTGCGGCAATTGTTTGCTATGTGGCCACCGGCTTGGCCTCGTCCACCACCCAGTTGACGCAGCTGAGCGACGATGTGCTGGGCAATCATTGCCGCTGGGCGCAGAGCCTCAGCGCCGAGCATCTGGACGAGATACTCACCTATACTGTGAATCGCCTGCTTAAGGATTATCCGCTGGCCAAGCGACAGCAGCAGCAACAGCAGCAGCATCAGCAGCAGCTGCAACGCGAGGCTGATGAGCAGGCAGCACATAGCACTGCCACGCCCACAGAGGCAATGTCCCAACTGCAGCAGCAGCAGCAGCAGCAGCCCGGAGGCGGCGGGGATCAGCAGCAACAGCCAGCGGCATCTGCCGCCAACATATTGCCAGCGATACATTTGAAGCTCTTCTACCAGGTGAATGCGGCACCGCCGACAGATCTGTTATTGCAGGCGCTGCACGATTTTCGGCACAAATGCCAGGAGATGGCAAATGTAGTGTATACGGTGTTGCCGGCGTGCAGTTTGCACAATTTCAGTACGTTCCTGTCCATATGTGGTGTGCGGCATGAGTAGAGAGAGAGAGAGCAACAAACAGACAAAGAGCGAGTAAGAGAGAGAAAGGCAGCATCATATAGACAACAAGTGTGTCAAATAGAGAGGGAGAGAGAAAGAGAAAGAGAGAGAGAGAGAGAGAGAGAGAGAGAGATATGAGCTGATGAGCACAGCTCAGTTCATAGCCGAGACGCACACACACACACACACACAGACACACACTAAGAATGCAGGCGTCGTCACGCCCATTTGTTGATATTGTTAACTAGCCTGTGTATCTATTAACTATATATATTTACTACAACTATTTACAAAGCAAGCCAGTCAATGAGTACAGAATCTAGTTATTTATTAATTGTGTTTGGACCAACAACAACAACTACAACAACAACAACAACAACAACATCGTGAACTGCAACAAGAACAAGAACAACAACAACAACAACAACAACATTTTTATGGCAACTCAAAGTGTTTCAATATATAATTAAAGAGAACACAAAGCAAAACCTAAACCACAAGCAATTAACTAATTACGAAACATTTAAATGAAAATTCAAGTTAAAAAATCAAAAACAAAAAGAAACAAGCAAAAAAAAAAAGGAAAAGTATGCAAACAATTTTATGCAAATTTTTTGTGCACACACTGAAACCACGCCCAATTATAACTGTAAAACTGTCAGCTGTAAACTTTAAATGTAACTATAGTCGAATAACTGTTAACATATATATTTTTTTGATGCGCTTTTTATTTTTGCTCAGGTTTCGCCTTTTTCAAAACGGTTTTGTTTTTTTTTTTACTATTATTTATTTTCTAGTCTTGTTTTTTTTTTTTTACTTTTTGAATGAGATTAGCTCAACTTTATTGACCAAATTTAGCTTTTAAAAAGTAAACAAGAAACAGCAACAATTGTAATATTTAAATAATTATATACTTATATGCGGTGACTTTTTGAATATTTCGTCATGCCCACAATTTTATTATGGAAAAACGTAAGCACCAAAAAAAAAAAAAAAAGAAAAGGAACCCATTATAAAGTAAACAAAATGCCATACAAACAACTTCTTTATTATTTTTTTTTTATTTTTAGGCTATGCAAAGAAATATTTATTGGCAGCAAATATAAATTTGTGTGGCACATTTTTGCCTAGTTGCCTTTCGCTCCTTAAGATTAATAGTTGAATAATATAAAGATATCGCAAGCTAAATCGTCCATTAAGCTTGGATGAGATTTTGCCAGACGCCGTTTTACTTGACAAGTCCAATTTCAGAAGCTTAGCGAATTTCCCCCCTTAGTCAGATGCATACTAAAAGTGAAAAGATATTGTTGATATTCAATTGATAAATCGCACAAAATGTTGAATACAACTTTGGGAAATTTGAATTGTATGTTGGACATGTCACTGATAATGATTATTAAATGCTATTATTGTTATGAAAAAGAATTAAAAAAGAAACAAAAAAAAAATATATTGATATCGATTGTGTGTCATTACAAGAATCATAAAACTAAATCAAAAAATACATATAAATGGGCGTTTTATTTTGTCGAACTTTAAGAAAAACTTATCATCTAACGGTACACGACAGTGTTAGAGGGTGCATTGTAAATTTCTAGAAAGTGCTAGAAAATGCATTCGAGAAATTGCTCGAAAACATATTTGTAGCATACATTTCATGTAACTCTAAGTACACGTCATTGTTTTGCCAAAAAATCAGGAAAACCATACTTGAGTTATTTATTTTCATAAAAAATAACATCAATTTCATGCACAGAAATAAGCGCAACGCTAGAGAAAGGAGGGAGAGAGAGCCAGAGCGCAGTCAGTGTCATCAGCCTTGACTCGACGATGATGACGAAAATGTGTTTGCAACAAACAAAACAAAGCTTTTTGGCAACACGCTCTCTTTCCATATGCGTGGGGAACATTCGAGCGTGGGCCAATCAGATATGCCGGCCCGCGCCACGAAACGCCAATCAGAATTGCACCAGACACTGACGTGGTCGACACGTCAGAGCGTAAACAAAGCGGTTGAATAAATAGCCCGGCATTGCGGAGAGCAGACAACAGTTTCCATACAGACAGCAAAGAAATAACACGAATCGGCATATAGAAAAGCGCAATTGGAATATATACATACAACGTGCGATCAACAATAAGAGGATTACTTTTTTTTTTTATAATATATAAACAAACACTGTGACTGTGAAACCGTGTACAAAGTTACAAAAGTAATTAATAATCGAAGCCAAAAAAGACAACATTAGACAATATTACTCAAACAGAACGCAACAAAGTGACAAAATATTTAAAATTAAAATAGCATATTATTTTATTTAGTGCTTAATTTAGTTTAAGCTAGAAAAAGTAAGTATTTAAAAATCTGTTTGTCAAATGACAACAATCGATAATTTATTTTTTTTTTTAATATCGTGAGTTTTGCAACACTGTTGTAAAGTTAACACTGACGTGTACTCTGCACAGCGTTGCATGTGCGTGTGTGTGTGTCAGTGAGTAGAAAGCGCCGGCAGACAGTAATCGGCTATATTCTTTCAGTTCTGTTTCAAACGTCAAGAGAGGAAATTAAAGAAAAAGTAAGCACCCAAAAGTTTCAAGTGTAAGTTAAATTTCTTCAACCATCAGTTGGAAACAAATGGCAATAGTTTCCATATTGGATAACATCAAAGTCAAATGCTTAAAGTAATTAAAATGAGCACATTGATAAATTAAATGCACATGTGGGGTTGTCCGGTGTCGCCATGTTGGCAATATGGGCTCCAAATTTGTGGGATATAAAACGTTTTTTTAATCTTACGGAACATAACCGAAGCACATGTCCGCCGCCCATTCCGTAATTGCCATATAAGTGTCTGCAGCGCGAATGCTTTTAATGTTCATAAATTGTGCTTAAGAATTTCACTACGTCACACCAGTGTGGACCCCTCCTCCCCTCTCTAACGAATTCGCATGACGTGTAGTCGCAGGCCAGCGTGTATAATTTTTAACGCATATTGTTTAGTAGGCCGAAGTAACAAATTAGCATAGCATAATTCATTAACCAATTAGTAACAAAGTTCATTCACTTTAAACCGGCCGGCTGCTGGATATTGGAATATTTTAAGAAAGCCATCAATTTTAACCGTCTGGCCAAATGCCGTCTAGAGATGCACACAGCTGCTCAATATTCAAGTTGTGTGCGCGTTGCCACAGTGCTGCATTATCTGGCTGCTGCTGCGGCTGGCGCTGCTGACTTGGCAACACTTGATTTCCATATTTGCGATTACAATTGCAATAACAAAATAAAATAAAGAAAATCACGCAAACTCAATTCATATATGAACGCACACACACACACACACACACAGACACGCGCCTGCGCCGACTTATCGGTGTCTGCTGCCAGGCGTCTCTGCACATTTGTGTGCGACTCTGGCAGCTCTGGCAGTCATTCAATCAGCTTTGTACACGTCATTTAAAACAGATCCCCAAGCTACATACGTTATTCAACTCAATAGTTAACAAAAGTACACGTCAGAAGAGCATAAAAGGCGATTAACCAGCTTGGCTTATATGTTATTTCGGGCAAACGCATAGTAACGTAAGTAAAGCGGGAAAAACTTGCCGGCAGAAGATGCCGCCTACCACCGCCCCAACTTTCACCGGACGCGCGGGGAGTGTGAATATTGCCGTGTGATGTGTACATACTATTGCAACAGTAGTTTTTGTTCATGAGTATGCAGAACGCGGCAATGATGACTAAATAAGAAATTTTTATAAAATAATAATAGAAGAGAGCAGAAAAAGAAAACCAGTTTTTGTTCAACTCGCACGCTTGTGAGAATGGTCGGTGTGTGTGTGTGTAAGAGAGAGGGAGTGTTCGAGAGTTTACAGCAGCAGAAAGAACCAGAAAAATGTTACCACGTATACAAAAAATTAATGCTATGGCAACGTTGGCAGAGCAGCAGCGTCGGTCAATGTCAGCAGCGTGCTGAGCAGAGCAGCGGCTGGCATTAACAGTTGTTAAACGGTCAGTGAATAAGACGGACGTGTTGCTCCCACAGAGCTTTCTTCAGGTAGTTGTGTGTGTGTGTGTATATTACCTACATATATTTCAAGTGTGTGGTGATTTACTTTTATTTCAAGCATGCTTGGCATAGTTTTAAGACCGCTGACGGATGCGTGCCATAAATTGTTTAAGCCCTCGCTTCAATGTTTATCAAAAGTAGCACACTTAACGGTATTACCTGTTGACATCGTCAACGTCAGCGTTTTTTTTTTTCGGCAATTCCTCGCTCTCTCTCGCTCTGGCCTTGTGTTGACGTGTACAAAATCCAAGCTGAGCTTTCGCGCATTTCATTAATCATTCTTTTCTTTTCCTCTTTCTCGTTGCAGTTCTTTTTTTGTTTGGTGTCAAAGACTAAGCACCAAAACTAGTTAATAATATAACAGAAATAACAAGAGGACGCTGCCACAATGAAGTTGTGCATATTATTGGCTGTCGTGGCCTTTGTGGGCCTCTCACTGGGTGAGGAAAAGAAGGAGAAGGACAAAGAGCTGGGCACCGTTATTGGCATCGATCTGGGCACCACATACTCATGGTAAGTTATACTGCAAATGGGTGTTGCCAGATCAGGCCAACATCCAATTGGGTTGACTGTTGATTTATGGTCCAATTGGTCAAGTACTTAAACGAATTTCTTTCCACTTGCAGCGTTGGCGTTTACAAGAATGGACGCGTGGAGATCATTGCCAACGATCAGGGTAACCGCATCACGCCCTCCTATGTGGCCTTCACGGCCGATGGCGAGCGTCTGATTGGTGATGCCGCCAAAAATCAATTGACCACAAATCCCGAGAACACCGTCTTTGATGCGAAGCGTTTGATTGGACGCGAATGGTCCGATACGAATGTGCAGCATGACATCAAATTCTTCCCATTCAAGGTGGTTGAGAAGAACTCGAAGCCACACATCAGCGTTGATACATCGCAGGGCGCCAAGATCTTTGCGCCCGAGGAGATCTCTGCCATGGTTCTCGGCAAGATGAAGGAAACCGCCGAAGCCTATCTCGGCAAGAAGGTCACCCACGCTGTTGTCACTGTGCCCGCGTACTTCAACGATGCCCAGCGTCAGGCGACAAAGGATGCGGGTGTCATTGCCGGTCTGCAGGTGATGCGCATCATCAATGAGCCGACAGCGGCTGCCATTGCCTACGGTCTGGACAAGAAAGAGGGCGAGAAGAATGTGCTCGTTTTCGATTTGGGCGGCGGCACCTTCGATGTCTCCCTGCTGACCATCGATAATGGTGTCTTCGAGGTGGTTGCCACCAATGGTGACACTCACTTGGGTGGCGAAGATTTCGATCAGCGTGTCATGGATCACTTCATCAAGCTGTACAAGAAGAAGAAGGGCAAGGATATTCGCAAGGACAACCGTGCTGTGCAGAAGCTGCGTCGTGAGGTCGAGAAGGCAAAGCGTGCTCTCTCTGGCTCCCATCAAGTGCGCATCGAAATCGAGTCCTTCTTTGAGGGCGATGACTTCTCCGAGACGCTGACCCGTGCCAAGTTCGAGGAGCTGAATCTGGATCTGTTCCGTTCGACCCTGAAGCCCGTGCAGAAGGTGCTCGAGGATGCCGATATGAACAAGAAGGATGTCCATGAAATTGTTCTGGTTGGTGGCTCCACTCGCATACCCAAGGTGCAGCAGCTGGTCAAGGACTTCTTTGGCGGCAAGGAACCATCTCGCGGCATCAATCCCGATGAGGCTGTCGCCTACGGTGCTGCCGTCCAGGCTGGCGTACTCTCCGGCGAACAGGACACGGATGCCATCGTTCTGCTCGACGTCAATCCACTGACCATGGGCATTGAGACTGTGGGCGGTGTCATGACCAAACTGATTCCACGTAACACAGTCATTCCCACCAAGAAATCACAGGTGTTCTCAACGGCCTCCGACAACCAGCACACGGTGACCATTCAGGTGTACGAGGGTGAGCGTCCGATGACCAAGGATAACCATTTGCTCGGCAAATTCGATTTGACCGGCATTCCGCCAGCACCACGTGGCATACCACAGATCGAGGTATCCTTCGAGATCGATGCCAACGGCATTCTGCAGGTCAGCGCCGAGGACAAGGGCACCGGCAATAAGGAGAAGATTGTGATTACCAACGATCAGAACCGTTTGACGCCCGAGGATATCGATCGCATGATCCACGACGCCGAGAAGTTCGCCGACGAGGACAAGAAGCTGAAGGAGCGCGTCGAATCGCGCAACGAGCTGGAATCATATGCGTACAGTCTCAAGAACCAGATCGGCGACAAGGAGAAGCTCGGCGCCAAGCTCAGCGACGACGAGAAGACCAAACTGGAGACGGCCATCGATGAGTCCATCAAATGGCTCGAACAGAATCCCGATGCCGATCCCGAGGAGTACAAGAAGCAAAAGAAGGATCTTGAGTCCATTGTCCAGCCCGTCATTGCCAAGCTCTACCAGGGCACAGGCGGTGTACCTCCACCAGAGGGCGGCGAGGCTGGCGACGATCTCAAGGATGAGCTGTAAGCGCGTCGGCGGCAGAACTAAATCAGACTGATTAAGCAATTAAAACTTGATTGCATCCCCCACAACAACAACAACAACAACACAGAACGGCAACAGCAACAAAAACAACAAGAAAAACAACACACACCCCAAAGCAAACGATAAAGTTTTTACCAGCAACTCACAATATCTTAACCTCACGCTAAATTCCTAGTAGCCACAGTTTTTTCATTCTTTTTTTAAACTTTTTTTTTTTTTTTTGTTTAGTTTTAATCTAATGTTTTTAAAGTATTCCTTCGGTAGGCAGAGAGTGAGTGGCAGAAAAGAGAGTTGTTGAAATCGAGAAAGAGGAGAAAGGAAAACAAAGAGAAAATGAGTAAAGGAAAAGCTTGAAGCATCTTGTGTGCTCCTCGCATTCCTCCTAACTTCAAATGGCCAACAACCGTTAAACAGCAACAAGTAAAAAATAAATAAGAAGAAGATAAACACACATGCACTGTATATTTTTTGATAAACGCTCGTCAAGTTGAGGAATCACAAATCAATAGGTTAGCCTACAAGTTATAAACAAACTTAAGAACTTAAAAGAAATGAAATGAAAAGAAGAAGAATAAGAAGAAGAGAATGTTATATGTATAAGAGCGCGTGACACAGATAAAGAGAGAGGGAGAGAGAGCGAGAGCGTGCGAGCGCTTCGGGGCAATTAAAATGAAGAAGAAGAAGAGTTTTATGTGTAGCATCAAACAATATAAAATACAATACCAATATGAAAATGAAATACAAGCAAAAAAATAAAAAAAATACACAGACAAAACATTAAAAAAATAATAATAATAATGGATTCTTCGATTTTACGAAGAACCTTATAATTTATTTAAAAATAAAATAAAGAAAAACATAAAAATATGAAAACATTTTTTATTATTTCCTGGTCAAATTGTTGATCACCGGCATTTGCCGGCCCAATCTAACTATCTATAAACAAATCGATTTTCCGCGCATTTGAAGATTTCTTGGAAAATTGATCTCAATCGACTCAAGGCAAATTACAAATTTTTTCACCCAATTTCCACTCGTGTGCGTGGATTAAATCCACAGCAGTGAATAAAATACACATTCACATTTTATATTTCAATAGTTTTCGGCATCGTTTATTATTGACTTAATTATTTTATTTACTTATTGAAGATTTCTATGAATCGCTTAGAAAATTGATCTCAATTTTCACCCAATTTCCACTTGTGTGCGTGGATTTAACAAAGAGCAGTGAAAAAAATGCACACACACATTTTATATTTCAATAGTTTTCGGCATCGTTTATTATTGACTTATTTATTTTATTTACTTATTATTTTATTCTCTTAATATTTTTGTTTTTGTTTTGTTGTGTTGCGTATTTCATATTCCTTGCGCATTCAGATTTCAGTTTGTTCAGGCTTTACTTATAGTTAGCAGCTCTCGCAAACCCGTTTTGGGGAGCACTTCGCTTTGCACTTTGCACCGATTCGCATATATAGTTATATATATGTGTGTATATATATATATATATTTACTACGGTTCAGTTTTCAGTTACTGCATTACGAGTAATCTTAATTATCTTAAATACATTAAAAAAATACATAAAATATTTGTTGTTTTTTTTGTTTTCATTTTAAATTGTATATAAATAAGCTAACGGTATATTTATATTGTTTATTGTGTACACATATGTATTTCTCTATATACTTATATACGTATGCACTCTCGGATATCGAAATGCGAGACTGACCTTTGACAGTGCGGCTCGCGCGTTTTTTTGTTTTCCTTGTTGTTGTTGTTGGGTTTTTACTGTAACGGGCTCCCTTTTCTTTTTAAATAGGCACATTTTCTAATGTTTCTGTTAAAGTTAACAAGTAGTTCAGCTTGACAAGAGGTTTTGTTTTGTTTTTGTAATTTAATGGCGCGCATTGGCAACGCCACATCGTTAAGTTGGCAACAACTCAACACAAGGCCACCATGGCTGCTCGATAAACGGTGAACTATATTTATCGATCAATCGCAAGATGTGCAACGAACGGTTTAGCAAGCTGGCAGCGCTGCTTGCTAACATTTAACAGGAAGATCAGTTAACAAGCACACGAGCTGTTAACTTTCGACATAAACATGAGCAAACGTGCCTAAGCTGATAATTGATAATTGCTAATATTTGTTATTATTCTCTGGTAGTAAGGGGTTCGGGTTGGTATGTGTGTGTGTGTGTGTGTGTTTTGGGACTTGGAGGGGGGGGGGGGATAAAAAGGGCACTTGACTAAATATTTAAAACTATTCTAAACTTTAGCCGCTCACTTAGTAAATAAAATGCAAAGAATAAAATTGAATTGAATGCGCCTGCTGCACGCACGTACCAGGGCTGACAAAGCTGAGTTTTTTTCTTCTTCTTATTTTTGAATTCATGTGTATTTGTGTATGTGTATGCTCGTCCCAGTCTGTGTGCGTGTGTGTGTATGTGTGCTTTTGTGGGTGTACTTTCGATATCGAAACATATTGTTTTCGCACAAGCCTCGTGAATGCCGGCGGATTGCATAGTTGGTCCTTTCTTAGATGGTGTGGGGGGGGGGCGGGGGGCGGGGTGTACATTCCTCAACGGCGTTCTTTGCGGCTGCTGCTTCTGCTTGTGTCAATGTACGTATGCATGTGTGTGTGTTTGTGTATTGCTGTCAGAGTGTGTGTTGTGTCCGCATATGTGAGAGTTTTGTTGTAACGGCCGCTGCAGTGCTGCACTTTTAGATGCGCTTTGGAATCGTATCGATGGCATTGTTCTCAGGCTCTTCGTCCTTTGGTGGCTGGCCGCGCTGCTGCTGGGACCATTTGGAGGATGTGCGAGCAATACGCGCGCCCATGGATTAAGGCGAAGTGGGTGCGCAGGCGCAAGTTCGAATCGGTATTGGAAGAGTTGCCGGAATTTGCCACCAATATGCGCGCAACAAGAACAAAGATACAAAGAAAGGAAGACACAATGAAAGAGAGAAAAAAAAACGTAAAACGAAAGTAATCAAGAAAGCAGAAGAAATAAGAATGTATGTACATATGTATGTACATAAGAAAGTACTATATACATATGTCTTGTATGTACATACATTTCATCACCTACATATGTATGTATGCATGTATATCATATTACCATATAGAATTTGTGAAGGGAGTAAAAAAAAATAACGAAAATTATGTACATATGTATGTATGTGCATGAAAACGTAAATTGTTGTCTTTGTCTTGCGCCGTTTGCTATTTGTTTTGTTTTTGTGTTTGTTGCTAATTCATAGTTGAACCGTTGGAATCTTAAGAAACGGTACGTCCTAATATGAGTAGGTATGTGTGTACTTATGTATGTATGGTCGCCGACCTTTCGAATCCAATTCAAACTGTGCTCTGCATAAATATGTATGTACATATGTATGTATGTATGTCAATTGTGTTTGATTTGTTGCAGTTCACTTGTTCTGGTAGGCTGATTGACACACTTTGAGGTGTGCGTGTTTGAGCGTGTGCGTGTGGATGCAGTGCAGCTGATAGCGTGTATAATAAAGGGCACGTGTGTGTTTGTGTATGTGTGTGTGTGTGTGTGGGTGCTTGTGCTTGGTGTGTTAAAGAGTTAAGCGCATGGATAATATGGATCAAGAGTAAGCCCAACCAATAAACGTATTGTGTAATTTACAATAAAAAAGGCATTTTGTGCTTGATTTTATTATTTGTTGTTGTTTTTTTCATCTTTTCTTTTTATCAAAATTGTGTTCACATTCGCAACGAAATATTTAAAAAAAATAAAAAAGAAAGGGGAAGCAAAGTAAATATGCATATAAATGTATGTAAATAACGCATACAAAATGTAGGTTAACCAAATCTGAGAGAAGCGTATGAAAGCAGCTAGCTTTTGTCAATGATTGGCGCTCGCTTAGCCTGTTGACTAGAGTGAAATGGCATTAGTAGCAGACCGTCATCGTATTGCTAGCAGTGTGAGTGAAGAGCACAACGCATTAATTGTCAAACTATTCGGCTTCGGCCTCGGGATCGGGACGACTTAAGATCTCCTGGCAGAGCGCAATGTAGTCCTAGATTTAGTTACATTACGTATATATATATATATATACAAGAGTGTATAATATAGCATAGAGAGAGAGAGAGAGAGAGAGAGAAATGAAAATTAAAAATTCAAAAGCAGTAAAGCCCATTAAACACTGAACACATTTAAGTAGTCAACACCGGCACAGCCATCCACATGAAACACAATTGGAATAAGTGTTGGATAATACACAACAGATATATATGCAGCATTAGTTATATGTACATACATACTAATATAAGCTTTTGGCAACTTTGAGAGCGAGTCGTGTCTTTGGGTATGATCTGTGTATGGTATTTATAATGATTACCGAAATGATAGACTGTAATTTGTATTAAATATCATTTTGTTTTTATTTTAGTTTTTGTTATTATTACTCCTGTTCTTCATCTTCTTCAATTTAATTTTCATTTTCATTTTTGTTTTCTTTTCTTTTCGTTTTTTTCTTCTTGTTGTTTTTTGTTTAAATTAATCAGTTATATATCAATTGTAAACAGTTTTTCGGTATGCACTCGTCAACTTATCAACGTTTCTTACGCACTTGGCCTTTGTATTGATTTCTATATATATATTCTTTATTGCTAAATTTGCTTAAAAAATGTTTGTTTTCATCTTTCTTTCTTTTCTTTTTTTTTTTTTTTTTTTATGCTTTCAATTTTATTGTTATGTACTTGTTTTTGTGTTCCTTTCTTTTGATTCGGTATGCAAATCTATTACAACATTTCTCATATACATACTGCATACAAAAATTTATCTCTCAAAGAAATTGACAAAAAAAAAAAAAAAAAAAAAACAATCATAAATATAAACAATTTGTCACACATGAGTTTTTATGGAACTACAATTGGCAAAATAAAAAAAGAAGTTATATTTATATATTGCGAAATAAACTTGCGTTTAATATCATTGCGCCTAATAAAATAACAAAAAAAAAAATATATATATATAGGTTATGTTCAATTTGGACCCTTAAAAACTAAAGGTGTTTGCAAATTATTTGCTTCGAAATGAACACAGAACTTTATATGGGAATACCCTTGCTGAACCTTAACAATCTATATAGAGCCTGGGCTATTATCCATAGACTATAAAATGTGTGTTGTCTTTTAAAAATTATTCCCAAAACAATTGGTTATAATCTTAAACTACATGTTTACAAAATTTAACTAAAGATCTGGAACTTTAAGCATTCTGCAAGGGTATTCAAATTTCGGCAAGCCGAACTTTGCATTTATTATTTGTTTGTTTTGTTTTCTTGTTACTACTAACTGCTGTGTCTTAAACTTAAGATGCGTTCGCTTTTTACTTTATTGTTATTTATTAATTATTTGCAATTGTTTAACATAATTGTTGCTCGTTTATAAGTCAATAATATACACATATATATACATACATATTAACGTATACATATATAGATATATATAAATGCATGCATGTATTGTATAAAACCAATCTGCAGCTGGCTGTGTTGTTTTTAAACGCATTCCTGTTACATTTCAACTCCAAAAACCAATGAACTCTTGTGCGCTGCTCTATTGCTTTTGCGAATGGTTTGGGTAAGGCTGGGCAGCACTTGCGCAAGCGTTTGCATACAGTTCTGTTTGTATGTGTATATTGGTGTGTGTGTGTGTGTGTGTGTGTGTATTTGCAAGTGCTGCCACTAATTCGTCATCTTTGACTTGATTAACATTGACTAAATGTGGTTTATCCTTTTGTGTGTGTGTGTGGGTTTTCTTTGTGCTTGATGATACATCTTCTTCTTCCGCTGTTGCTCAGTGCTTTGCTGCTTTGGTCTGTATCTTGTTGTCTCGCTCTGTCTCGGATCAGTTGTTATGTATTTAAGCCGCCGTTGTCGCTGCCCTTGTCTTGAATTTGAAACTCCTTGTGATTTCTTCGTTGATGATATTGATATATATATATATATATATATATATGTATGTGTGTTAGGTATGTTTGTGTGTGTGTGTGTGTGTGTGTGTTGCTGTGTATGCATGAGTGAATTATTGCTTCTGTTTCCACATCGAATGGCATTTATTTTATAACTTTTTTTCTTTCGTTTTTTTATTTTTGTATTTGATTTAATTTTCATTTGCTTTTCACTCAATTCATTGGGAAGGGGAGATACTTGATTGTTGTCTTTAAAGTTTATTGCTTTCTAAGTTGGAATCGGTTATTGATTCGGGTTTCTGTGGAATCAGCGATTTTTATAAATATTACTACATATATAAATTATAAACGTTGCATTTTCATATAATTATGTTACTATTTATATATATATATATATATTTGTTTGTATATATTTTTTGTAGCAGTATGTGGCTGTTGTTTTATGATTTTTGGAAGTACTATGTTGCATATATCGTTGTATGTGGACTAACAAAATGTTAATTATTTTCGCTCTCTTTCTCATACCCACTGTCTATCAGTTTCTTTGCGAGTGTGTGTCTGTGTGTGTGCGTATGTGTATATATGTGTGTATCTTGTTCAGATTGATTATTAGGTTGTTCAAAAGTGTTGCTCTATTTTTCAACTCAATTGAAACTAACTGTGTTTCGGTCTAGTGTTGCCACCTTTTGTAAACTGTTTTACAACATAAATTATGTATATCATGTATGCCATAAGTAAATACAGTTATGTATGTAATAACGCACACGAAAACAAAAACAATTGCTGAGTACATATGAATATATAAATATATAAATGCACATATATATATATATATAAACATTTATATATACGTATATATATATATATATGCATATATATATATAAGGGGTTTTATAAAATATTAAAAACTAAAGACTAAACGGTTTAATTTTAACATAATTATTTACTAATACATACTAGGTTAAAAACGAGTGTGTGTTCGTAAATATATTGTTTGTATGTGGTTTGAATGCATATGTGTGTGTGTGTGCGTGTGTGTGTGTGTGTGCAAAACAAGGAAAAACATACAAGCAGCAAAACACAAGCGCAAGAATTTGATGAGGAAACAAACATTTCTATGCAATGTGATATTTGTTTATGTTTATGTTGTTGTTGTTAGTTTTGCTGCATTCAGTTGTAGTTGTTGTTGTTGTTGGTGTCGTTATTGTTGGGGTTTATGCTTACAAAAATACTAAATGCTAACATAAGTACATTAACTATGCACATATGTTTGATTGTGTAAACGACAAAAATTCGTTATGTTCGTACTGATGAGCTTTTGTATGAGTGCGACGTGTTCGATATCCGATAACAATATCGATCAATTATTATATGGCCATGGAAAGTGTTGGTGTGTGTGTGCGTGTGCGTGTGTGTGTGTAGGTATTGGTTTTTTGTGTGTGTGTGTGTGCGTGTTCCTTTAAGAAAACTTCATATCATTTCCGTACTCGTTTCGCTTTATGTTTTGGGTTTTACTTTCTCTTTGTTTGTGTTGTTTTGTTTTGTTTTGTGTTTTTTTTCTTGTAAGTGTTTTTCATTTAATACATTTTCTACTACTTTTTCACTTCACTACGAATTTACTTTGCATTATTCTGTTTTGCTTTTACTTTTTTCGTTTTTTGTTTGATTTTTTAGTTATTTTCTTTTCTTTTCATTTTTTTTTCTTTTTCTAAATATAAACGCAGTTTTGTGTTTTGTATTTTTTTTTTTTAATTTTATTTTGTATAAATGATTTTGCTTCTGGCGCTCAAAACCTCTGCAGTTGTAACGGTCTGTAGCTGTCGGTTCTCTTCAGTTGAAACTATGTCTCTCGTTTCTTTATAATCAATCATATATATATATATATATGCAATGTTATGGATTTGTTTGTAGTTATGTGTGTGTGTGTTTGTTTGTGTGTGTGCATGTGTGTTATTTCGTGCATGGTATGCGCGCGTGTGTGTGTGTGTGTTTGTGTGTTTATTGAATTAGTTTTTCTATACACAACGTTTTTTGTATGGGGATAAGGAGAAGCAGGATAAAAAAATCGATAAGTCGATGGCAGATATCGATAAACAGACATAGAGCACAAGCACGGCATAGAGATCAGATGACAGTTTATTACACACACGCAGACGCACAGGCACAGGAACAGGCACACACATACACATACACATGTGCATATGCATATATATATATATATATGTTGAATACGGTTCAGATTCAAGTTAGGAATTGGTTGTCGTTCAGATAGATGACCATTAGGTGTATTGTGTTGAGGTTGGTTGGTTTGGTGGTGGTTGTATGTGTGGGGAGAGAAACAAATAAAAAAAAAAATATATAGATATATATATATATGCTTAGTTTACGTTTTTCTCTTTTTTTTTTTTTTTTGCTGCATGTTTTTCAGTGGATTTTATGTTTGATTTTTTGTTTTTGTTTTTTTTTTTTTGGTTTTTTTTTGTTTTGTTTTTAGTCAATAAAAAAATGTTAATAAGAAATTTCATTTTAAATTTACCGCTCGTAGTGGCATTTTGAAATTGGCTGCTGCCTGCAGCTGAATTTGATAAGCTAAGCTGTGAATTTTAAAGCCGTACAGACTGCAGATTGGGTGTATTTTTTGGTATAGTCGGTTAACATCAGACGAGGGTACAGCGCGAGTGCATGGAATATAAAGAGAATAAAATAATTAGCAAATTTACTTTATCTATATGGTTAAGTCTCTTATGTACAATTTAAATTATAAAGCTAAGACCCAATAATAACTGTATTAACTTGTTAAATGTGAAATATGACGAGCTAGTTACATCGTTTACGAATGTCGCACAAAGAGGAAGTGACAAAACGTGACAAACGTGGACAACAACCTTTAAGAATCTGCCATAAAAGAGCAACAAAAACTCACTACTATCCGCTCTAACACACGTATTCCTTGCGAATTGCACCTAGAGCTGAAGAAGGAGGAATAAGAGCTCATGCCCTGTGTCTCTGGATCAAGCCAGTGAAACGTTTAAGAATTTCGTAAAAACGAACAAATGAAGAGTTTTCTGTTTACGAAAGGAAACGTGACAAAACAAATGCTGTCTCTAGACAGGAGTTAAGCTAAAGGGCAACAGCTAACGCCTTGTTTATTTTTGTTTGAGTTGTATGTGTATATTAACAAACTAGATGATCAGTTCATGATCAGAAAGCATACTTGCTAAGCAATTAAAATATACTACAGCAAAAGCAGAAGGAAAAGCATAATATAGGATGGACGACTATTTAAAAGCAGAAAGCGTGTTGCCATAGCTTTTTGTAATATCTTGTTTGACTATCATATCTATTCCCATTACATGAATATATATTAATATATATATACTTAGATTCTAATGCGATTCAAAGTGAATCAATTTGTTTACAATTGAACTACCTCAGTTGACACACGAAGCATTAATATTTACACGTTTCGTTATTAATGGAAATTTAGATATATTTTGAGGATTTTGGAGCTGTAGCTTACCGTGGAACAAATTGATTAGTAGGGCGCTTGGGGCGATACTCGGGATGCACCATGAACAACATGTGTGGAAAACCAGTGCCGAAATAGGCGCCATCAGTGTGATGATGACGCGATGATTTTGGTGTATAAACATCAATGCACTTGGGGCAATAGGTTTTCACCATTGCCTCGCCGGGTATATCCGAAAGGCCTATAACAATATATAGATGCATGTTAATATAAATATAAATATGCATGTTGTCTTGCTTAATACACACCCAAAGGCAACATGGGCTGACTCTCGCAGTAGACACGTGGGCAATGTCCAAAGTCGCCAGTTTGATATTTCTCAATCATTTGAGCGATGCCACGATTTGTTAATATATATCTAGCGTGTATGAGGCCGTACAACATTTCAGCTGCCTGTTCGGTCATATCCGATTGCAGGGGATTATCTTCAAGTTCATCCTCTGCAAGTGCAAGTTAAATGTTGTTATCAATAGCTGATTTATTGTGAGCTCAAAGAGCTAAACTCAACTTACCCGGCTCCAGATCCAATATCATGTCCAAAGCCTGACGGTAGTTGGGCACCTGCTCATTTAATCCAGTTAAATTGAACTTGTCCTGTATGTAATCCTCATCAACCTGCAATATACAATAACAAAAGTGCATTAAAAAGGAATTCACGCTGGCAACCGTTTCTCTTGCAATTCTGTCTGCGTGGGCGCGTTGTGCGCGTGGCTCTGTTTTGCCGCTCACCCACTTTTGTGCCCCACCTTACAGTGAGCACACCTCTTAGTGAACAGTTCGCTTATTATATGAGACAGTCGCAAAATTGTGCTATGGGAATGTGAGGTTATGAGCGTCGGACTAACAAGCGGCAGGTCGCTGGTTCAAATTCAGCAGCCATTTCTCATATGTTGAGTAAAAGAAACTACTTACTCCCTAAAATCAAACAGTTCTAATGTGATTTTCAAATTCTTTGGTTGTGCTTTTCATAGCTAGCTGGGAAAGTATTCAATAAACGAACTCAATTGAAGCTTAAAATCAAAAAATTACTTTGAATTACTTTGAGTATTTGAATCGAATTAACTGGAAATGTTATATTAGAAACTCAAAAATATAAATGAAAAACATATTTTAAGCAAATGAATGACTAGGTCTGGACATCCAAATATATGAAGACTGTACTTTGTTAAATAACCGCAACAAATATTTACTTGGATAACATTGAATAGTATTAAATAGCTATAGAAATTAGTCAACAGGCATTCCTTGCAATCGAGGCACTTTAGCGAGCGTCTACAGTAGACGTAGTCACAAGTTAGACAAGTAACGGTATTTTGGGCGGGAGTGGTCGACTAGCAGTTACCCTAGACCCAGCAACAAGCTACTGTTACAACGATTCTAGATTTCATCTATACAAAAACGTAAAATATAAGAAATACATTCTTGGATAACTTTGATATTTATAGTCTGATCCTTAAGAGACTTTCAGGGTATGAACAGGGCATACAAAAGTGTGTAAATAACAAAGCGAACGGCTTGAACTTATTAAATTTTAGGAAGAAAGCGTAGGCATCCCATAAGTAATAAAATTTTTGTTTATGTATGCAGCATGAGAATATAATCCTCCATAATCTTCGAGGTTATGTTGCAAAATCGATTTTAATAGATCGTTTAAAAATTCGATAAAATATCGTTATGCGCCTGATATAGAAGAATATAAATTTCAAATATAAAGTCTGTAGCTTCTGTGTCTTAAATTGAGGAACAGATAGATGGCCAAGACTAGATCGTGCGCAGCGCGTCGTCCTAAGAATATGTACGTTGAATGTGGTCGCAGAAGCTTCCTCCCGCCTGTCACATACATTGCAGGGTATAAAAATGTATATATATGGAGGGCTGCACTTGGCGCCCGCTGAAGCAGCAGCAGCAGCAGCAGCGCGCCCGCTTAGGTAACAACATGGAACAAGGAAATGTTTGGGAATTACCAGATTTTTTATATATATATATATATATACATATATATGTATGTATGTGTGCATACTTGCGATTCGATGGCTTACCTCGCAAAAGAACTCATTGCCGCGAAGCCCGCAGAACCAGGTAACCCAGGAGACTTCCTCGGAGCTGCTCATTTTGCTGGGAAGACAACGAAAAAGAGAATATAAAAAATGGTATAATGATATTAAGCACATGCAAAGGATTTTCAATTGGCGGCCGCATTGGGGCGCGGGCGTTGCAACCTACATTAATGGAATTATTTTGCGTAATTTGACGAATTATTTGTTGAAATTAACCATAGAATGTGGCGTTCACTTAATGCGTTCGGTTAAGTCTGGAAGGGGGCCGGGGGCGGGAGGGGTTGGTATTTAAAAGGGGGGACACACAACGTCAAGAAGCGTATGTATGTAACACCAACATACACACACACACACACACACACGCGTACAAACAACACGCACACAATGAAAAGTAAACGAATCGAATTTGTCCACGAGTTTTTAGAGCGCGTCTCGATTTACAGATTATTATGTTTATTTGTAAAAAAAATTTATTTTCAATTCCGTTACTGTTACACGTTTACTGTTCCAGTCCAAAGCAAATAATGTTGCTTTAAATATATATTTTGCTCGCTTGTTATTTTTTCAACGCACACACGATTGAACGGAAATTTGTACGCGTATTTTGACAAGCGCTCATACAAAATGTGCCGAGCAGGAAGAAGAAGCACGCACACACATGAAATAGCAGGCAGCAGCAGCAGCAAAGAAATTCAGAAAAAAAAGAGACACCGCGAGCACAGTGAAATTCATAGTGGGCAACAGACCCGTGTGGAAATTGGGCACTCACTGTTTGCACGCTCATTTGTTGATTACACTTTATCCATTTGATTTGTATTTGTTAATTGATTTGTGTAATGTATTTAGAGACAAAAAAAATATATTTATATATATATATATTAATGATTCGTTATTCACAAAGAAATTGATTATAAACGCGATGTGCACGTTCCAACTGGGCCTTAAGCAACAGCGCGCTTGGCGTAGCGGCACGACACAGACACACACGCACACGCTCTCACACGCCGTATTAGATGATTTTTGCACTTGACTTGGCAACGCTGGCGATTTGGCTGCATTTTGCTTATCGCTTTATTTATTTTGCCTGGACACTTACCTTAATTTTCGCACAATTTTCAAAACACTTTTACTAATTAAAGCACTTTTTTTCAATGCGAAAATTTAACAAGCGAGTTGCGAGTTGTCGGTTTTGCAATCGGTATTAGGGATGATACAACTGTATCGATCTATCGATTGCATCGAAACACATCAAAGTGACCACACGTTTTAAAAGTATAAAAGTCTTGATATTCTGTGTGAATGATAAAAATCTCAACAAAATACTAGAGTGAAATAATTCATATGCGAACTACCAAATATCTCGCCACGCTGATATGTTGAACTATTTGAGCGCGTTGAAATGGGCGCAAAAAATTTATTTTGGTCATAGGAAAAAAAAGTTGTTTCTATTTCTATTTGAAAACTGCTTGTTTTTGGGCAATTTGTATTGCTGGTGTCGCTTTTTATAATAGAATTTAAATACAAAGTTTTTGCCAGTCGATTAGTCAAGAGAACGAGTTCAGCGAACAGCTCTTTTGAAGTTCACGCGCACACAAGCTCACACGCACACATGTAAACAACAAAGAACAACTTGCTATTTCATAAGGCGCAGAGTTTTGCGCGCGGCTGTCAATAAAATTGTATGCTGGTATTTTTTTTTGTTTTTTTTTTTTTTTTTTTTTGACGTAAAATCACCAAATGAACATATGTACATAGTTGTCAAATGGCAAATGCAATGTAGTAGCAGGCGCTGCATTAATAACAGACAAACAACTAAATGTTATAAACTGTTAGGCTTGAATTTCTTTTTTGTTTTTTTTTTTTGATTGAGCAAGTGACAGTCTTCATTGAGATTCCGTCAGGAAAGCAACGTGCTGAACGCGTCTATTTGCAATTATTTGCCTCGACTACGACGAAAATATTGCACGCGCTAAACAAAAAGTTCCGCAATAGATATATTGCAGATTTACTTAATGTTCAATTGTGGTAAACAGATGCATGGAATTTGAATACGCGACGGGGCCTGAAAGGAATAAATAGCTAAACTGACAGCTTTGACAGTCCGGGCAAAAGAAAAATCAAAAAAAAAAAAAAAAAGAAACGGAAAGCGTGAGGTGAGTGCGTGCAGCCAACAAAAAAAGTCATACAACAAAAAGCAGACAAAATAAAGAAATTGTGGAACATTGTGTACAAATGATTAAACATTGTAACAGCATTTAGTAGCGGCAACTTTATTATTAACACAATAACAACAACGACAAACACACACATTGAACACGCCAACCAGCCGCTATGAGTGTGGACACGTATGCGCCGAGCTCGGCGCTCTCGTTCCTGGACATGGATGACAATGAGCTGCTGCGCGGCGCCGATACGCAGCCAACGCAATATGATTATCGTGACTTTACCATGCCGTCCACATCGCAGAGCCAAACCCAAGCAGATCAGCTGGATTTGCAGGTGAGTGGCTGCCACGTGTGTGTGCGCGTGTGTGTGGGTGTAAATGGATTGTATCAAATGTCATCAAATTTATCGAATCTTTATCTGATTGCAGCAACGTCGTGTTAGCCTGCACAATGATATACATCCACGTCTGGGATCGATTACCAACGATTTGGCCGATTTGCAATTCGAGGAGGAGGACGATGAGGGCGGCGGCGGCGGCGGTGGCGGCGGCAACATGGCCTATGTTAAGGAGCTGCCGGCTCACGCCTGCAAATATTGCGGCATACACGATCCGGCCACCGTGGTCATGTGTAACAATTGCAAGAAATGGTTCTGCAATGGACGCGGCAGCACTTCCGGTTCCCACATTATCAATCATTTGGTCCGTGCCAAGCATCGCGAGGTCACGCTGCACGGCGACGGCCCGCTCGGCGAGACCATACTCGAGTGCTATTCGTGCGGTGTGCGCAACGTGTTCGTTTTGGGTTTTATACCCGCCAAAGCGGATTCGGTGGTGGTGCTGCTTTGCCGTCAGCCATGCGCCGCACAGAATTCGCTGAAGGACATGAACTGGGATCAGGAGCAATGGAAGCCCCTCATAGCCGACCGCTGCTTTTTGCCCTGGCTGGTCAAGCAGCCCACAGAGCAGGGACAGCTGCGTGCACGCCAAATTTCGGCGGCACAGATCAACAAGCTCGAGGAGCTCTGGAAGGACAATATTGAGGCGACATTTCAGGTGAGCGCAGAATGCACATTCTTTTTCCACATTTTACCATAATCATGGACCAGCAAATGATTGCCATGTGCTCAGGAACGTCAAGGATTTCTGATATTTTTGGAAATTCAGTTCGCATAACAATGCCATCAACATATTGATTCTGAGCATTTCGTGCAGCGATTAATATCGATATGTTTATATTGGCTGCCTAAGGCCAGTGTTGCCAACTGTAGCTGAATAATGTTGAATATGGCTGAAAATAGCTGAGTTAGCTATTTAAGCACAAATTTGTAGCCAAATCACTTGGCAATTTCAACTGTTTCCGGCTGACGACCTCTGAAATAGCTACATTTAGCTAAAATCTTGCCAACACTGCCTGAATTTGTGTGCATAATTGTTAATACTTTATGCCCGGTTTGCTTATCATATTTACGAAATTTTGGTTTTTCAATAATACCCATTCAAATCGCATTGAGCATTTTATAATGTGCTGCAAATAATTGCGAAAATATTTAGCACCATATTTGCTCAAATCCTTGTGTTTGCCATTTATTTTTGGTATTTTATCGATATGCGCATTCATTGTTTTGTTTACTAGTTCATTTTGGTATTAAGCAACAACAAAAAATGTCGATAACTCGGTTTACTTATCGATACATTAATACGATATAATTGCAGGATTTGGAAAAGCCTGGCATTGACTCGGAGCCGGCTCATGTGCTGCTGCGCTATGAGGATGGCTATCAGTATGAGAAGACTTTCGGGCCGCTGGTTCGCCTCGAGGCGGACTACGATAAGAAATTAAAGGAGTCCGCCACACAGGAGAACATTGAAGTGCGCTGGGATGTGGGCCTTAACAAAAAGACAATCGCATACTTTACGCTGGCCAAAACAGATTCGGACATGAAGCTCATGCATGGCGATGAGCTGCGTCTACGCTACGTGGGCGAGCTCTATAATCCCTGGAACGAGATTGGCCATGTTATTAAGGTGCCGGATAACTTTGGCGACGATGTTGGCCTGGAGCTGAAGTGCTCCACGAACGCGCCGGTCAAGTGTACAAGCAATTTTAGCGTGGACTTCATCTGGAAGTGCACCTCATTCGATCGCATGACACGCGCCCTGCGCAACTTTGCCATGGATCGCAATTCCGTATCGAATTACATATATTCGCGCCTGCTGGGCCATGGACGTGCCGATGGCAGCGATGAAGTGCTCTTTCGCGGACCACAGCCCAAGCTGTATAGTGCACCGCACCTGCCGGACCTCAATCGCTCGCAGGTGTATGCCGTGAAGCATGCGCTGCAGCGTCCGCTTAGCCTGATCCAGGGACCGCCGGGTACGGGCAAAACTGTCACCTCGGCGACCATTGTCTACCAGTTGGTGAAGCAGCATGCCGGCACCGTGCTGGTGTGCGCGCCCAGCAATACGGCTGTCGATCAGCTGACCGAGAAGATCCATCGCACCAATCTGAAGGTGGTGCGCGTCTGTGCCAAGAGCCGTGAGGCTATCGATAGTCCCGTTAGCTTCCTGGCACTGCACAATCAGATACGCAATATGGAAACCAATTCGGAGCTAAAGAAGCTCCAGCAGCTGAAGGATGAGACCGGCGAGCTTAGCTCGGCGGATGAGAAACGCTACCGCAGCCTGAAGCGCGGCACCGAAAACCAATTGCTCGAGGCGGCCGATGTCATTTGCTGCACCTGTGTGGGCGCTGGTGATGTTCGTCTGTCCCGCATCAAATTCACATCGATACTGATTGACGAGTCCATGCAGTCGACGGAGCCGGAATGCATGGTGCCCGTGGTGCTGGGCGCCAAGCAGTTGATCCTGGTCGGCGATCATTGCCAGCTGGGTCCGGTGGTCATGTGCAAGAAGGCGGCACGCGCCGGTCTCTCGCAGAGTCTGTTCGAGCGTCTGGTGGTGCTGGGCATACGTCCGTTCCGACTCGAGGTGCAGTATCGCATGCATCCGGAACTGTCGCAGTTCCCATCGAATTTCTTCTACGAGGGCTCGCTGCAGAACGGCGTCTGCGCCGAGGATCGACGCCTTAAACTGGACTTCCCCTGGCCGCAGCCAGAGCGCCCGATGTTCTTTTTGGTTACGCAGGGTCAGGAGGAGATTGCCGGCTCGGGCACATCATTTCTTAATCGCACCGAAGCGGCCAATGTGGAGAAGATCACGACACGCTTCCTGAAGGCGGGCATCAAGCCCGAACAGATCGGCATCATAACGCCCTACGAGGGACAGCGCGCCTATCTGGTGCAGTATATGCAGTACCAGGGCAGCCTGCATTCGCGTCTCTATCAGGAGATCGAGATAGCCAGCGTGGATGCGTTCCAGGGCCGTGAAAAGGACATCATCATAATGTCCTGTGTACGCTCGAATGAGCGCCAGGGCATCGGCTTCCTCAACGATCCGCGTCGCCTTAACGTGGCCCTAACACGCGCCAAATACGGCATCATCATTGTGGGCAATCCCAAGGTGCTGGCCAAACAGCAGCTGTGGAATCACTTGCTTAACTTCTACAAGGATCGCAAGGTGCTCGTCGAGGGCTCACTGAACAATCTAAAGGAATCGCTCATACACTTCCAGAAGCCCAAGAAGCTGGTGAACAACATGAACATCGGCGCCCACTTCATGTCCACCATGATGGCCGATGCCAAGGAGGTAATGGTACCCGGCTCCATATACGAGCGCAGCAGCGGCTACGGCCGCCAAATGTCCGTCAATTCGCAGTCACAATCAATCAATGGCGGCCACTATGCATCTAATGCCTATGGTGGCGGCGCCGTTGCCACCGCCGCCGGCGGCAACAATATGTCCAATGCAGCCGGCTACGGTGCCGGCAATGGCAATAATAATTATGGCAGCATGGCCAATCCTGGCGTCGGCGTCGGCGGCGGCGTCGGCGTCAGCGTCGGGGTCGCCGGTGGCGGTGCTGTTGGCGGCGGAGCCAATCCCGCCAGCTGGACGGCCAACCATCTGCACGATTCGATTGGGTATATATCAAATGATCATGGCGCCGCCGCCTTGGGCAACATGCCGGTGCCCGTCGGCATGTTCATGAACATGAGCAATCTTCCGCCGCGTTTCTACAATCAGCATCAACAAGCAATTATGGCCGCCAAACAGAATCGTGCCATGCAGCAGCAGCAGCAGCAGCAACAGCAGCAACAGCAGCAACAGCAGCAACAGCAGCAGCAACAGCAGCAACAGCAGCAGCAGCAACAACAGAACCAAGCGGGCTACGTGCCGCCGATTATCGGTGGCAAGAAGAGCGGCAAGTTGTCCAAGGCGCGCGCTGGCAATTTCCATTCGCTGACAGTCGGCGGCGGAGCTGGAGCTGCGGCAGCCGGCGCAGCAACTGGAACAGGCGCAGCAACAACTACGACAATCGGAGCAACAATCGGCGCGACTCCATTCAGCCAACAGCCGACGGCGCTGTCGCTGCAGATGACACAGCCGAGCGGATTTGCGCTCTCCCAGCAGCCGGAATTATCGCAGGACTTTGGTCAGATCTCGCAAATGGATGGACTGCTCTCCCAGGATGTCGCCTTCAATGTGGTAAGTCCTTACAGTCTCAATCGCAAGCACGAAGCGACTGCGCGCAAGCTCTTCTAGTCAGTGTGAGAGAGAGAGAGAGGGATACAGAGAGAGAGAGAGAGAAAGAGAGAGAGGGAGGGAGAGAGAGAGAGAGCTTGGAACCGAGAAATATATTGAAGAATTCCAAGTAAATTTATGAAGAGAGAAAGAATTTATGCAACTGTGAATACCGATTGATTCAGAACGCAATTCACAATTTTTGAAGGTATTCAGTATTCGTTACGAGTGTCTTAATTATCGTTAATATATATATATATATATATATATATATTATCTGAGTAATATATGTAACTTCAATTATATATTGTACTAGTTAGCGAAATAAATCAACTTACGATTAATTTATGTTTAAGTCAATTCGTTATATTTCAAGTTCAATTCGTTGCTGGCAAAACTAACGAGTACGCTATCGTTCTTATAATTGGATATGCAAGCATTTTTCCAGTTGACATTGTGTTGTAATTTGTTAATTACACATTCAGATTATTGTATTTTAGTTTTCTGTTTACCAGCGAGTAAATAGTTATTGTTTTAATTTATTGTAGTTTCAATGCTGAACTCGTTGCTGCCAAGTAACGAGTAGTTTCTGGTTATGACAATTTGCTGCACTTTAAAGAAATCATTTTTAATCCACAAAATTGGTTGTAACCTAATTTGAATTCGTTTGCGACAAACTAACGAGTAAGCTTATTTTAATATTAATAAGTAATGTAAGATAAGAATAATTCACCATGCATTTGCAAGTTAAGCTTGTTGTGACGAGTGTGAATCAGGTCGTTGAAAATCAAGATGATTTAGTTGCAGCATACCAACGAGTCGGATATGTTAATTTGAGTCTTCATAGGCAATTAAAGACAATCACTCGTTGCTCCATACTAGCTAGTGTGTCACATTCTTAAATCAACTCGTTAAATCTTAATTTGATTTAGTTGCAACACACTGACGAGTCATATATGTATATAGTGATTGGAGTCTTTAAATTTTAAAATTTTAACTGGGTTTTTTAATCAGTAGTAGGTAATTTAGGCCGAGAATTCGTTGCTCTATACGAACGAGTATGTCACATTCTTTCGCGAACTCGTTACTTACGAGTAACATGCAAATAACATCGAATTGATTTAAATTTAACTCAAACTAACGAGTAACATTCGTAAAATGTACCCGATTTATTTTAAAATATTTGTTAGCTGCCTACTAACTTATGATTAAGAACAATATGCTGCGACTTTAAAGTAACGAGAACTTTGTTTTTTTTTTTGTTCTTGTTCTTTTTCATACTTGTTCGTTGGCGGCGCAGTCGGGCGAACGCAGTTTGAACCAATTTTCGCAACCTTACTGAGATGCTTGAGGAGGCGCGCACAATTGCAACAACAATTTACAACAACAAACACAACAAACTAAACAACAAACAAATTGTAAGAACTTTGAAGCCATCATGCAGCAGCAGCAGCAGCAGCAGCGGCGGCGGCGGCGGCGGTAGCAGCGAAAGCGTCAGCGGCGGCAGCAGCAGCAGCAGCAGCAGCAGCAGTTAGCAAGCGGCGATAAAACAAAAACAACAACAGCGACAGCGACAACAGCAGCAGCAGCAGCAGCAACAGCAACAACAACAACATGAACGAGCAACAAAAGGAAGACGCAGAGGCAAGCAAAATGGAAAAAGCAGCATGGAAAAAGTCTATCAAACAGTTAAACTCGGCCAACACACAGAAGCGATCAGGCAAACAGCCTAGGCACAGTTAAAGCAGAAAGCGTTAGCGAGAACGAGAAAGAGCGAGAGAGAGAGAGAAAGAGACAGAAAGCAATGAATATATAGAAGCGGCATCAGTGGAAAAGAAAGAAGCAGCAGCTGCGGCCACGCAGACAAACAACACTGACATGTGGCCAACAGATGTAGCTGGGCACACTTTTTTTGTATAGCTCCCAGCTTTAGCTCAGCCATGCGCAGGCTTTGAATGCAGCCAGATGGGCGAGCGGGCAACGACGGCGGCAGCGACGGCGGCGGCGGCCACACAGCGCAAGACGCGGACTGCGCCTGCAGATGCAGATCGTTGCTGGAGACAACGTCGAGGCGCCATGTTTCGTTCTTTCTTGTACACCCCAAAAACAAAGAGAAGAAAGTTCAAAATTGACGACGATTAATGCGCGGAATGATGCCGCTTCACTTACCTCCCCCTCCCCCTACCCCTACCCCAGCCCAAACCCTTACAAATGAGGTATTGAAGAAAAGGACAGAAAAACAACCTAGACCCGTTTAATAATTTTTAATGGAATTTTTTGTTTTTGTCTGGCTTATGTCGAGTTTTGGAATTTTTCCACTTAAAAACCAACTTTTTGCCACTGTTGTATTTTTCCAAGGAACGTTTTTGTTAATTGTATGCGAGTGCCATTTGTTTCTGTTTTCAAAAGTGCAAAAAAAAAAAAAAAAAAAAAATGCCCCACAAATATTTCCAAACATTTGAAATTGCATTGTGGCGCCCTCTAGCGGCGGCCAGAACACAATATTTAAATTATTCAAAGCGTTTGGAGATCCTTTTCTTTTTGTTGTCGGAAAACATTATTCGAACTCATTTTAAATATTGTTGAATTGAAACAATTCAAGATTTTTTTAAATACATAAATATATACAAATATATATATATATGTATATGTTTTTTAAAGAATTACCGCCCTCTGGCGGCGACCAGTCGAAAACATATTTTACACGGTTTGGAAATGGATTTCATTTATGAATTTCGACACTTATATATTTCAATAGTCTTGAATTTCCCTAAAACAAAAAGAAATAAACATTGGAAAATTTTCTTAAAGCTCACAAATAACGGTTACAAAACAGTTTACCCCCCACCCAACCCTTCCAGCTAATTTGTTAACACAGACTCAAGTACAATAATAATAAAAAAAATTACATGAAAGGAACCCAACAAAGAAAATGGATTTTCCACACATATGTAAAAATTGTGATTATTTCCTGCCCAATTGAATATGAAAATAAACAAGTTCTGAATGTGTTCTGAATAAAGAATTTCATTTAATTTTGCAAAACAGATGAAAAACTATAAACGAAAGTTGCATTTTCTTTACTTTTTTTTTGTTTTGAGTTTTGTTTTTGCATGGATTAATATTATACGACATTGGATGGGTGTACTCGGTATATGGTTGGGTTTCCATCTCTGCAGCTCTTTCGCTTAACATATTTCACATTTCAGGATTCGACTTGTATTATTATTAACATTCTTGTTACACATTTTCTAACTGTCTTAAAAGCTGAAGCAAAATGCATGCCAAAAGAAAATGCATGGAAAATAAATGTGGAAAAATAATTTCACTTTTTGGCATGCTTACAATAATTGTGACGTGAAGCGATCAAAAAAAAAAGAAAGAAGAAACTTAACAATTACATTGACGAAGGGGCTACGATTTGATATAATTTAAATAGAGAACATTGGACAAGAATTATATATATATATATTAATGTGTATGTAGTTGAAATTAAAGGGTATCCAAACTCAATGTGATTGAATTTGAATTTACAAAATGCACTGGAAAACTTGTAGCCAAAAGGTTTTACAATAATTGTTTTTGTATATATTTATATAGATTTTCATTATTATTTAATTTTCTGTGTTTTTTTTTTTCTTTTATTTTTTTCGTGCGTTGTTTTATTTTGTTGAAGCGCACATTTCAAATATGTTTGCACTTGCGAGTGCGGGCTGTAAGAGATGCATATTATATTATATAATAGGATGGATTGCTCGAATTTGTATTCTGTCTCTTTCCGAGATCTTTCAATATTTTGAGTGCTGTTTACATGTGCAGAGCTACTTGGTAATATATTTAAGCGACATTCAAACTTGCTCTATAAAACTTCATGAATTGACAAGTTGTTTGTTTAAACAAAGATTTACAAATATCAAAATTTATATAATATATTATACAATTAACCGTGCACGTGTAAAATAAGCACATAGATACAAGCATTAATAATATTATTCTACATGAGTTTTACATGGACAGTCTCTATTCATATCACAGTTATATAATCTTGGGTTTCCCAATGGTAGATATCATAATTTATTTATATAATATATGCCAAGTTTTGAAACGGCTTGAATTCGGAATTTCAATTTATGTGTTTACCATATGCCGAACCTTAGCTCTGAGCACAAAATAGCTTGAATCCCAGCGATGGATTTATCTAATTATATTTGAATATTTATAACAAACCAAGGCTGGAACCAATTGTTTACTTCATGGATGTGTAAAACTTGTCTAACGAACTGAACGATCTATGATCCGTGGTTACTGATATATGATCTAATATATTTTACATTATATGACATAAATTGAGAGATTCTTGATACAGATCAACAATATACATATATACTTCATTCATACTCTACACAAACTGATAGATGGTACATTAGCTTGTCTGTGCGTTCGTCTTTTGTAGCTAGAATCTTCAGACTAAGCCATACAACTTTAAGTCCTTCATTTTACATATAGCTAACTACATATTCTTCTAGGTGCTCTACTGTTTTTAAGTCATTGAAAATGGGTAAAAAGAATGTATTGGATTATTATTAAAACGAGTTTTAAAAATCTGACACTGATTAGCTGAAATTTGCGTTTTCCGCGCAGTTTCCGATGCTGAGAGTGGATTTTCTAAGGTGCTTTTGTTTTTCTGAACAGTGTTGAGCACGTCTCCAATGAATTGCTCTAGTGTGCACTAACAGTTAAGATAACTAGAGCACAGCTCTCCAGCTCAGACTGTTTGGGTTGTACATGTGACAATTTCATAAACATAGATAACCTACCTCTAGCTGAAACTAAACCTAAACCTTAGATTCCCGCCGAGTTTGCAACTACAACTGACCTGTGGGTTTAATGAAATGCCTGGCTTAATGACAAGCAGACAAATCATCCAGAGACGCCGCACACTTTGGATGTGGCTTCTTAATGCCTAAACCAGATGCGAGGCAGGCGGCGCCGCATAGGTGCCTGCCGTGACCAGTTTCGATGGAGCCGTTGTGGCGGAGTTGCGGGCGTGCACCAGATGCTGATGCTGATGCTGATGCGGCTGATGTGCTGATGGATGATTGTTGTGGGCGGGATGCGAATGGAGATGCAAGAGGGGCTGATGCTGGTGCATGGCCGTTGGGCGTTGGGTGTAATGAATGGGCGTAAATATGGAGGCCAAGTCCAATGTGTGCTCCAGTCGACGCGCCGTCGACACAAATATCGCCTTGACCCGCTCAAAGGTCGCATAGTCATAGACAGAGCGCGCCGTATTGGACAGATCGAAGGGCTCTGGCAAATTGAAGCAACAATCGATATCAAATTGATTTGTCAAATCGAAGGATTAGCGAACAGCTCACCCTCAATATTCAGCTCCTTCCATTGGTGTATATCGTTTTTGGGGCTCTTGGCCAGACGGCAGGCGGCGACGGGCAAAATGCCGCCGGTGCGTATGGATATCGCATTGTTCCGATAGCTGTAAGTATATATGTATATAGATATATCTTAATCTTCTGCTTTCTGTTATCTCACACTCACTCAAAATTGCTGTAGTACTTGAAGAAGCCCAACAGATGCTCGCCCAGGGTCTGTGTGTTGTGCGTCTGATATGGCTCGATGGGCTCTATTAGATCGAGATCGAGGCATTCCTGCTGCCCCAAATTGAACTTCTCTGGGTACAGTGCCTGCAGGCAGGGCAGCACATGCGGCACACAGCCATGCTGCAAATAATGGAGCACCATCAGCACCAGCGAGTAGCTCGACACGGTCATCCGTTTGGCATCGTTGATGTCGTGATATTGCGCCCACAGCTTGACAATAACCACAAGCGGCCGGGTGCGCCAGTCCACTGCGGGCATGAAGGTGAACAAGGTGTACATTAGACATTTTTTTACGAGAGTTTTCCGCTTTAAAGATACCCTGTATTTATACAAGAATGTTTTTTCAGCATGGTTCTAGTTTGACGGGGGTGACTATTTAGTTTTGATATCATCTGGAGATGATCAGGCAACAAAGATTAGTCGATATTTATCGATTTTGAAAAAAAAGACGAATCATTAAAAAAGGCCTTCTTGATCTTTTGCGCATTTTGGTGTCCAATAAATTGTCACCTCAGGATATGCTCAAAAGAAACTGACGTTAATAATCGATATCGATATTTATCGATTGTTTAAAAACAAGCGAATTATCGAAAAATGTAACTTTAATTGCATTTCTTATATAGCGAACTACATACTGAATTTGGTGTCGTCTAAATTTCAAATCTTTAATTGTAATCGATAAATATCGATTGTGAAATTATGGGCGATTTATCAGAAATTTTTGATCTCTATCCACAAATGCTATATACCGGATTTGGCGAGTAATAAATTGTTTTCTCTAGATATGCCAAAATAAAAGAGGCGCAAGTTTAGCTCATTTTTTCGATAACTAATCAACGTTTAAAAACTCGATAAATAACATTTTTATCAATTATTTATTTATCGATATTTTAAAAGAGGTTGAGCTATCGGTAGAGTTATTGATTGATATTTGAAAAGGAAGAGAAACAAAGTCTACATACAAAATTGGGAATCTCTCGCTTCTATAGTCCATGAGATCTGTTTGTTTGAACAAAGGAACCGCTAAGTTGATGCTGAGCAAGAATATATATATAATTCATTGGGTTGCAGATGCTACCTTGTCTCGCTTACTAAATGACTTTCATGTTAAATAAATTCCTCAGCTAGGTTTTGTGTTAACAAAGTTATGGAATTATCTCTGATATATCAGATTTATAGTAGTACTTACGCATCTGTGGAATTATTCTTAAAATCTTTCTTGAGTACTTACACTGCGCGTACAATTGCAGCAAATATGTGTTTTTGATGCCCACACAATTGTTATAGTTGAGATCGACTTCGATGCCGTTGATGCGATCCTTGAAACGCAGGATCGGGACACGTGCCTCAATTAAATTGAAATCCTGAAAAGCTTCTGCAATAAGATGGGTCATTAATAAGTTGTTGATAATTGAAAGTAATAGCAATATGTTGCTTGAAATTAGTTAAACATCCGATTAAATGTAAAGCAGCAAAAGCTTTAGCAGCTTTCAAAAAGCTGATGGGTAATTAATGTGCTTCAAAGCTGCAGCAATTTAGAATGTGACACAATAACCCAATAATCTAATGTAGTAAAAGCTTCTTGGATGAGCTTTTAATGCGCTTTCAAGTTGAAAAATTGTTTAACAAGAACTACAAGCGCTTTTCTAGCATTTCATAAGCTTTAAGAATCGAGTAATTTACAAGAACTAGAATTAAAATTGAAAAGCTTTTAAGCAAAAAGTGAGCTTCAAAGCGCATTGAACAGAGAATTGAGTAGAGATTAATCGCAGGCTTAAGCTTCACGAGCTTTTAAGCAAAAATTGAGCTTTGAAGCGTATTGGACAGAGAATTGAGCAGAGATTAATCGCAGGCTTAAGCTTAACTAGTCATGCGCTAACTTGTGTGGCACTTGCCCATTTCCTTGAGGACCGCATTGAACAGATTCAGTATCATGAGCGCCTCGGCGCGCAGCTCGCTGTGATAATGATGCTGCTGCTGCTGCTGCTGTTGCTGCTGTTGCTGCTCGCGTTTGTTGCTCCGGCAACAGGCACATATCGATGTCCGAGGAGTCCGTGCCGAAGCCGGTAATGGTCGAGCCAACCAAACAGATGCGATAGCGCGAGAACATCAGCTGCTATAAAGATAAATATGTGAAGCGTTTTGGGCAGCAGCATTTACTTTAGCCACACTCACGTTTATACCGATGAACAGATAGCGCCACAGACGCATCTTCAGCTTGAACTTGGCGTGCGTCTGCTGTGCGGCACGAAACCGTTTCCATATGTCCAGCGATAGATTGTCATATTTGCAATGGCAGATCAGCTGCTCCGGCTGCATCGTTAGCTCCACATTGCGCGCATGGTCCAGATAGCGATCCGGCGGCAAGATTAGCTCATACCAGGATGCCGGCCAAGATGCGCTGCCACCGCAGCCGCAATTGGGCCCACAATAATGCGGATATGCCCCGCCCCCCACGGGCAGATTGTGTGTGGCCGCCGCCAGCGGCGGCGGCGCTGCTGTTGCCGGCGGCGGTATACCAAACGGTAACAATGCATGCAAGCCATTTCCCATGCCGGCCACATGCGGCGATCCTCCTAGATGCGGCGACAACTGTTGACTGGGCGCTGCCATGGCAGCGGGGCCGTTGCCCGAGACGTTGCCCGTGCCCGTGGCTGGCGGCGTCGGTGACACGGACAACAGCTCCGATGACGTCAATCTGCGGTGGATAAATAAGTGAGGATAAATAAGAGAGGCAATTATTATTTAACCAACTGTGTAATGCTTGAAGGGAGACCCCTCGCAGACACCATTAAGTACATATATATACATATTCTTGATCAGCATCCGTCCTTCATAAATGTTTTGTTCTCGAGAATTATAAGAGTTCGAGTCTTGAAATTTGGAACGTAGTTGCTCCTCGTTTCAAATCATCTATCGTTCATTCCGTTTCTATGAAATCGATAACAATTGTTATCGATATTCTTTTTATCTCGGAGCTTGAGAGAGTTAGAGATCAAGAAGTTAGTATGTAGACCCTCGTATAGCTTCGGAATATTTCACTAATGGAACGCATAAAGATCGCACAATAAAAAAAAAAATGATTCAAGAATGCATTTGCCATAGCGGGAAGCTGAGGAAAGGGTATCTCGCAGTCGGGCACTCCCGACCAGTGCGCTCTTGCCTAACGTGAACTGCAAGACAGATGCGACGGACAGGACTTGAATTGTCCTTGCAATCAAGAACTTATATATATGTACATAGGGTATTCTAACTGGGCATGTTCAACAATATAATTACAGGGTATACTAAAGCTTATTTATATATGATGCAACACCCACCGACTGCGACTGCTCCATTGCGACTCGCTTGCCAGCGAGCACGTGGACGAGGCGGGCGAGACGGCGCGATGCGAGGCGATCCGACTGTGCGCGGAGCCGCTGGAAATGCTGCTCGGACTTGGACCAAAGGCGGCCGCCGGATAGCAAGGCGAATTGGCATGTGACCAGGCGGCGGCGGCGGCGGCGGCGGCATTGTTATAGCCATCGCCAAAGCTAAAGAAGAGTTGCTGCTGTTGCTGCTGTGCTTTGTTTGGGAACAACTGTTGCTGTTGCTGCTGCTGCTGCTGCTGTTGTTGTTGTTGTTGTTGCTGTTGTTGTTGCTGTTGGTGCAGCATAAAAGGCAGCGCTGCGAAGCTGGGACTGGGCACAGCCATCAGGCCGGAGAGCTCCACGTTCTTGTTGCTGCTGCTGCTGTTGGCCGTGCTGCTGGCTGCTGCCGCTGTTATTGCCTCGTCCAATTGCGCGCAGCTTATCATATTTGTGGGCGTGGTCGCAGCCGCGTCCGGCGTCAGTGCCGCTGGCGATAATATGCCTGGCGCCAGCATGGCCAATTGCAGAGCTGGCGGCGGCGGCGGTTGCAGAAACATGTTGCGATTGGTTGCAGCTGCAACAGTTGCTGTTGCCGTTTCAGCTGTTGCTGCTGCAGCTGCCATTTGCATGCCAGCAACAGTTGCTGTTGCAGATGTTGCTGCTGCTGCTTTTTTTGCTGCTGTTGCGGCCGGCTGCTGCGTGGGCGGCTGCACATCAACGTCCACATTCACATAGGTCAGATTATAGAAATTCTGATGCTCGGCGCTTGTGGGCGTGCCACTGCCAGACATTAGCGTATGATAATGATGCTGCTGCTGTTGCTGCTGCTGGTGTTGCTGATGTTGCTGATGCAGCTGATAGTAGTTGCTCTTGCCGGCAACATGATTGATTTGAGCAGCAGCAGCAGCAGCCCCGCCAGCGACAGCAACATTTTGCATGCGCCGATGTGCGCCATTATAATTGCTGGCGGACACAATTTCAATTGAGTTTTGTGCAGCTGTTGCTGGCGTGCAGCTGCTGCTGTTGTTGCCGTTGCTGTTGCTGTAGTGCAGCTTCTTGTTGCGGCGAAAGTGCGTGTTGTGCATGTGATTGTTGTGATGTTGCTGCTGGGCATGGTGTGCTTGCGCCTGCGGCTGTTGTTGATAGTTGTTGTTGTTGTTGTTGTGATTGTAGCTGTAGTTGCCGCTGCGATAACGCTGCTGATAAGCGCCCGATTGCTGCTGTTGCTTGTGTTGCTGTTGCTGCTGTTGTTGCTGTTGCTGCTGCTGCTGCTGCTGCTGGTTGGCCTTGTCCGCATCGGGCAGCAGCTCCTTTTGCAGAAACGAGGCAATTGTCAGCTGCTTCGGCTGTGAATAATAATATTGATAATAATGCGGCTGCTGATCCCCTGTTGCTCCTCCGGCTCCCGATGCTGTTGGTGCAGCTGCTGCTGCTGCTGCTGCTGCTGCCAGAGCCAGCTCCGTTTCCTTTTGCGTGGCCAGCGCCGCCTCCAACTGCTGCTGTAGCAAGCGGGCGAAATACTTAAGTGAATGTTAATAGTAAAGCAATCAAAAGTTAACTAACTTTGGTATTCCAAAGAGCTGAATGTACTTGCAGATATTGTAACTATTTATCTATTTGCTGATCAGGGAAGAAGCTGACACAATAATGTTTAACATTTAGCGAGCAAAGCGTTAAATACACAAAAAGAATTCGATTAAACTTGCATTTTCATCATTATTCATTTGAACCGTGCAACGCCAGGTAATTTCTTTTAGAGTAAGTTAAGGAATCGAGCTCCTTTGAAGTTGGCGTTAAATACACAAAACGATTTCCGTTAAACTTGCATTTGTATCGCTATTAATTTCAACCGGACAATGCCGGGTAATTTCGTTAAGGGTTCCAGCTCCCGTGAATTAAAGTAGCTTTGTGTTCGCGTGAAGATCGCGTTTAATACACAAACGATTACACTTATATTTTCATCATTATTAATTTGAGCCGTGCAACGCAGGGTAATTTCTTAAATTATCGAAACATTTATCAAAAATACAATAGATCATTCTGTGCTTTATGCTATTAGCTTTCGGCTAGTTAAACCTATCGCTGCAAGTATATTATATATATGGGTAGTTCCAGGGCTAATCAGGGATTAATATAAATGAAAAAAAAAGTTAAACTTCCAGTTGTGATGGATTAATCTTTGAATTGTTTCTTTTGATGGCAATATTTTTAGTGCAAGGCATGGGACTCTGTTTGAATGGAAGAATATGGGCAAAAATCGGTTAACGATTCGAATCCTAACTTTGCCTTAAGCTACGCTTCGTAAACCTGGTTTTTCACTGGGTCTTGGCCTATATTTGAATGGAAGAAATCAAATTTATAAATATATATATGTATAAATGCCCGCTCCTCTGAAAATATTGCACATTGTAAATATTTGCATAGAGAAAATGCGGGCTACATTTGAACTCAACCCAAAACTGGTCGCTTCCATTCTAATGGGGGTCAAGGTTTGCTTTCGTGTTGAGACAAAAGACTTTTTATTGAACCAAGCCCTTTCAGTAAAACTAAATGATTCGGTTCGGGTTGCGGTTCAGCTTTAATTCGCTTTATATTAAAAAGGATTTGTAGTTCAGGGTTCGAACCGGTTCGGTTTAAGGGTTAAGAGACAGCTGCCTTGATAATGAGTTTGATTAAAATGTTAAAGGCATCTGCCAAATATTGCTTGAGTTTCTCTCTATATACATAACTCGAGTAATATTTGGATTTTAGTTTTTATAATTCCTAAAATGCTTCTAAGTATAATTCCCCAATTCTCTAATTCACAAGACTTTGCTATCCTGAATGGGACTCGAATTTGTAGACTGGAATTTGTAGCCTTATGTGTTAGGTTAAGGACTTTGCTTTAACAGTTAGCTCACTTCCTTCTGCTGCATTGTGGGCTGCTGTGGATAGCTCGTCTTCCAGAAGGACAACGGTTGTTGTCTAGACCTCTGCGTCTTGTTGCTGTTGTCCGTTTGTTGTTGCTGTTGTTGTTGTTGTTGTGCCAATGCGGTTGCTGTTGCTTGTTGCTTTGTTGCTGCTGCTGTTGCAGTTGCCAATGTTGTTGATGTGCTCTGTTGTTGTTGCTGTTGTTGTTGTTGTTGGCGGTCATCATTGTTGCTGCTGTTGTTGCTGTTGTTGTTGCTGTTGTTGTTGCTGTTGCTATTGTTGGCTGTCGGCGTTGTTGATGACTCGGAGCAGCTGTGATAAAACGCCGACGAGCTGCTCGATTCCGCCGAAGATGACAGCGAGTTGCGTTTCTTAGTGTTGTTGTTGTTGTTGCTGTTCGATTTTTGTTGCTGCTTTGTGACGGCGTTGTTGTTGTTGTTGTTGCTATCGTTGCTGCTGCTGCTGTTGCTGCTGTTGTTGTTGCTGTCGTTGCTGTGCTTGCAGCTTATTTCTTCAATAATATTTTGATTTTTCATCACGTTGTTGTTGTTGTTGTTTGACAGCTTTGTTGCTGCTGCTGTCGCTTGTTGTTGCTGCTGCTGCTGCTGCTGCTGGTTGCAGTTGTAGCTGTTGCTGCCAAAATATTTCTTGCGCGTAAAGTTGTGCATATTGTTGTTGTAGTGCACCTGTTGTTGTTGTTGTTGTGGCTGTTGTTGCTGCTGCTGCTGGCGCTTGGCATGTTTATTGTCCGCGTTGCTGCTGTTGCTGTTGTTGCTGCTGCTGCTGCTGCTGCTGCTGCTGTATTTGGGTTGCCGCACCACGTTGTTGGCCTTGTTGTTGTATTTGTTGAACTTGACCTGAGCGCCACAGCGATATTCGCGTTGTTGTTGTTGTTGCTGTTGCGTTGTTGTTGTTGTCGTTGTTGCAGCAGCCGCAGCAGCAGCCGCCGTCTCCGCTGCGCTGGCAACAGCAACATTTGTGGCAAAGATTTTCATTTCAGCTCGGCTCGTGTACATAGGAAGCATTCGGAGTATAATTATTTGTTGGGCCGCGCTTTGAGTTTGTGTATAAAAAATGGCTCAAAGCAGGTGTCGCTTACGTTTAAAGTAAAACTATATTTATTATTTTTTTTTTTTTTAAAACTTTTTATGTTAATTTTTAATATATTTTAATTTTTTTTTGTTTTTTGTTTTTTATTTTTTATGTATTTTTTTGATTTTTATATTATGTTTACGTACGACTTTTGAGCTTGTTTCATTTAATTTGTGCCCGTTTATTACTTATTCAGTTTCTTTACGCTAATTTTTATTTGATTATTTTTGTTGTTTTTTCGGTTACTCTGTTCTTATTGGAACTTGCCGCCACTGTATAGAAGTAACCGTATTTCTTTATTGCGTTTGTCTATCCTTGTTGCTTTTCTTCTGCCCGACCAGCTCTGAGCTGGGTTTGCAGTGTGTGGAAAAGAGAGAGGGCGAAAGAGGACACAATAAATATCCGTTAATTTTGTAGAAGCAACGAAATATAGAGAGAGGCAAACAAATTCTTATTGTATTTGCATGTACTGAAAAAAAATGGCGCGTATTCAATAATAGTTAGGCCTGCACAAAAACAATCAACATTAAGTTTGTATTAATTGGAACTTACCATAAAATGTTTATATGAATACAAATTACTTATTTTTGTTGCTTAGTTCACTTAGACTAAACGGTGCTTGAAATTCGAAGTGCGCCTGGCGCACGGCTCCGTTTGCAAAAATTTGCAATAACACACAATGGGTACATTAATATTATTTTGTAAGAAACATTCATTTAAAAATTGCGACACATTTCATATGTTTTATTTTGATTCTTTGCTCTAACACTAAAAACTAAAAAAAAAAATCCACAACGCGCTACTTTTAAGAAACAGCAGCAACTACAAGGCATCGATACATACTGAGCGCCAGTGTTGGGCATCGATTTTGTTATCGATCCTTTGGTAAAAATTCAATGAATTCTTTTTATCTAATTGATTTTAATAATTAACAAATTTCAACAGCCCGTACACTAATGATAATTTAAATTTCAGTATTTGTTAAACAGCGTCTTCCAAAAGAGACGCGCCGGCAACATGGTGTCCCGTTTTATGCAACTCGGATGCGTAAGCCTGAAATTATGCAGAGTGAAAACGATTAAATTGATATTTAAATTGGTTTTTTATTTCACTTACTGAAAGCGCGCCCGGCGCAAGCGCTCCAAGTAGCCCTCTGTGGGAACGGCAGGCAGAAAAATCTTGCGCACAAGCCGCGGCATTTGCGGCAACAGCTGCCGCGTCAATTTTAAATGTGCATTGGCCGCACTCGCTACCTCAAAGATGCACTCCTCGACTCCCTTGTCATCACGCTGGCTGCGCAGGATGCGCTCTTGACTGACACCATGCCGCACCAACACCTCGAGCGGCACACAAACCACTTGCTGGCGTCCAGCGTGTGGTATAGCACGCAACAGCATGGAAATGCCCTGTGCCTTGCCCAAATGCGAGGCAGCATGATCCACTTGAATATCCTGTACGCCGCTCAGTTGCACTAGCAGATGCAGCAGCGATGAGCAGGTCTGATCTGCATAGTCCTCCAGCTCGCGTATCGTCTCGAATGCTTGATTGGGCGCACGCTCGCGAGCGGTAACCAGCCGGCGTAAATATAGCTTGTTCAGTTTGGTTGTACCCACCGTGCGTCGCAGTTCACGCAGCACGGGCTGATCCTTGACATAGGAATTACTCGACTTTGGCTCAAAGCACTTGTCTATGGAATCGTACCAAAACTTAAGGCGCAATTTAGCTATTTGTGGCTCGGTCAGCTGCAAGCACTCAATTATGTTAAAATACTGAATAATGTGCGTGATATTTTGTCAACTTACCTGGGCGCCAACGGCGCGAGAGACCTCCACATTGAAAGCCCGAAGAGCAAATGCCGCGGGACGCAGCTCCTTTGGCAGTAGCAAAGTAGTTAAATAGTTCTCATAATCAAATTTTCTGTACCGATTTTATGGACAATCATTAAGTGGTGTGAAAGGGAATGCGCCATGTGGTTCTACTTACTCCACCAGACCCATGCAATATTTGGCACCAAATTTATCTTCTCTGCTGACCGCTTCTGTTGTTTGTGTTGTTGTGGCCTTAAGCTGCTGTTGCTGTTGTTTTCGCTGCTCCTTTTGTGGCTGGTGGACGGGGGAACTAGTGCCACTGCTGCTTGCATGCCTGGCCACAATTTGGCTGACAAATAATTGTCCATTGCTATTTTGTAACAGCCGCCGCATTTGTTATTTATTTTCACAAAACAGAGCTGCTCCCCACTTAACAGAGCTGCTCCTCACTGTGATGCTACTAGCCTCGAATAAGTTCGATAAGTGGTTACAGTATGCTAATTGGAAATGAGGACAAACAGGAATATTATATGAAAAGCGTATTATATATGGAGCGTAGAAAATCACAAAAAGCACATTCGATTTTGGCCCAGCTCGAAATATAATATGCCGTTTACCCAAAAAGATTTAATTAAAAAAGCTTTCTACGCAAGTGTTTTTTGCAGAAGCGTAATATACAATATAAATTACTGACGTTTTTGGTTAAAAATTGCAATATCGTTTTTACCAGCCGTTTATATTAATGATTCATTTATGGTGCACAATATCCTTGTGTTCATTTTCTTGAAAAGATATTGACAAATCTGAGCTATCAAAGATTTAAAATTTTCGATATATCGATGTATATACGTTAAGCAACCCTACAGCATAACACTCATCGCTGGTTTTCTTTTCTAGCCGCCATTCAAAAGAGTGTGTGTCAAGAGCATTTTGTCGTAAATTTAAAAGAACGTGCCACAAAAGTTAAAAACAAACAAAACAAAACATTTTTAGACGGTAAGTACACAGTTCTGTTTATCGTTTACCATTCCATTGTGATTAAATCGTTAATAATAACAAGAAAGCAACAGCAACAGCTACCTTCATGTTGACAAGCGTGTGTTTGTTTATTTACATATGTGTCTCTATATTTCAAAATGTGTTTTAAGTAATATATACTAGCAAACTACATCAAACACTTAAGCTATTCTTAATATATGATAAGTATGCTCAAAATGAATTAATTCTCGTTTGACAAGCGCATGTACATTGTTGACTGCGTTGTCCGTTGGACAATAGGTAACGACATTACGTTTCAACCATGTGTAAAAAGGTCAGTAAAGGTCGCAAGAGTACGCAAAATTTGCATTAAATGTATTTTAAGCATTTCATCGGTTCGAAATGTGCGTTAATACATTAAAAAACGCTAAAAAACAATGACATTTAAGCAAAATATCAAAATTGTAGTGCAGAGTTGCTACCCAATTAAAAAATTGCATGAATGTATCGTGTCGTTAGGCGTTGTGACAACTCTAGCAATTTATCGACAATTGTTAGACCACGGTCGATATCTTCATTGCTTTTTCCTGTGCTCAGCAGATTTTCGTGTGCACCAAAATAAAAAAATAAAAAATAAATAAAAAAAAATAGAAAAAAACATATAGAATATACAAAGTGAAATCCAAGTGATAGTTAAAGTGAACGTATATCTATGTATATGTCTTGAGTCAAACAGTACAACAACAAATTTGTACAAAAGTGTTATAATATAGCTGCGAAAACCCCCAATGGGCAAAATAGTATAAATACATATGAGAAAAATCGCTAATCGCGATAGCAATAACAAAAAGAGCAACAACAACAGTGTATATATGTGTGTGTGTTGTAATTGAACGGATAGCGACAGCCACACACGGGGCCCAGCAGTAAAAAAAAAGTATAAAAATCCACGGAGTGTATTCAAATTAGAATCGTGAGTCGACGACGACGACATTCCATAACTGCGCTGCTTGGTAGCCAACACTTATTCACAACACCAAAAATGCAGCAGCAGCACTCGGATCAGGATCAATAGCAGGCCCTGCAAACACAAAAACAAAAAGCAACAAAAACACAAGCGAAACGAGTGGAGAGGGAGAGGAGGCCATCACGCGCCAACCAATACGGAAACAGCAGCAACAACAACAACAGCAAAATGTTAGCTAAATGCTAAGTTATCTACAATTATTATTTATTGGCGGGTCTACACTTCTGTGTGTTTGTGTGTGTGTGTTTGCAACCCAATTGGGCAGCCCGTTTTAATCATTTTCAAGCCCAAAATGCAAACGCACGCGTCGTCATCTCCAATTAATTTAGCATGTTATAGAATTTGATGAGCGCTCTGCTCCATCTGTGGTATCCAGTTAGCCTATGTAGTTGCCATATTGTCTCAGTTACTGCAGCTAATTGCCTGCGCGCGCGTCTGCTGCTGCTGCTGGTGACGTACATAAGTATATATGTGACAGTCTGGCTAGGCTGTCCATCCATTTGTTTGTCCGGCCACACTTGCCATTTACTTGCGCTACTCTGTTGTCTTGTGCACATACATATGTGTATATATTGTCTTTATTGTCTAGAAATTAACTCGAAACGCAGTTGTTTTTCTTACTTTTTTCTTCATCCTGGTCACATATTGTTTGCCCAGGGCGGGTGGCGTTTGGAAGGGTGGACGTATTTTTCCGTATTCTCCAGCGCCTCAATTGTATAACACAATTTTGTTTGTTTGCGTGTATGTGAGTGTGTGTGTGTGTGTTCCGTGTTTATCTTTTGATATTCAATACGCTGACTTTGCAATCTCTCCTAAGTCTTTACAGTAATGTATCTTTATGGTGCACTCTCGCTTAAACTAAAACATATGTTGTGACTACAGTTAAATTGTGCCAAATAAAACAAACGGCTTAATTTAAATGCTTTTACTTTTATAGTCACTTTGGCTGAAATGAGTGTGTGTAAAAAATGTGTTATTTCAATTCCAGCTTAAAGGGCGGCCACATGAGTCACTTGCCATATGCCGTTTATTGTCCCGTCTTCTTTGTGCCGCATCCGTAAACATTTCGCTGACAGCGCAGCTAATCAATATCTTCAATATATGTATATTCCTTTTTGTGTCGCATCCGTAAACATATCGCTGTCAGCTTGAAAATGATTATGTAATATTCATGCTATATTCGCTATTCTCTTTTATGTCTAGTTTCTCTTTGTGTCGCATCCGTAAAGATTCTACTGGCAGCTTGGCTGTCTATGCGCATAAATTTATCTTTGATATTATTATAATTTTTGGAGCAGTTCTCAAGATTAGCGTCAGTTAAAACAAATTTTGTTATCAGGTATCGCATTATCGTTAACATTCCACTCGTAGGTGCGTGCGAATTTCTCTTTGCTTCAGATAAATTGTATTTTTTTTTTTAATTTAGAAACAATGAAAACGCAACGAGGAAGGAACAGCGGCAATGAAACAATGCCAGTTTCAGTGATATCGAATGCTTACTGTCAGCTCCTATTGAATCCTTGTCAGAGTTTCTTTCAATTCCAAATATTTAAATCATTTTGAAGATGAGCTTAAACGAAATAGAAGGGCAAATGAAAATTGATTTGGTGCACTATCAAAAGTATTCACTGTATGTTTACACACGCACACACACACACACTCCAGTGTGTAGCCCCGCCAAGCAACGTTGTGGTCCAATGTTTACTAATAAATTCTTACAGAGAACAACAACAAGGCGAAACCGATATTTGCCCACAGATACACACGCAAAGGAGACACACACACACACACACGCACAGCATAGAGCGAATATCGTCATCATAAGAGGAGGAGGAGTCGGAGTCGGAGTTGGAGTCGGAGTTGGTGTCGTGGTTTGGTCTCGTGTTTGTACCATAAAACCATGGTGAGTACGAATCTGGTTGTGCCGGTGGTGCTGTGGGGTCCGACAGCGCCCACGCACTGCATATCGAGCGTCTTTCTGTCGGATGATCAGTGCACACTGGTCACCGGCTGCTACGATGGACAGATCTGCTTGTGGCAAGTGGAGCCAGCCACATTAAAGATGTCACCACGCTGCCTGCTCGTTGGTCACTCGGCGCCAGTGCTGTGCCTGGTGCGTGCCTCGCTGCTGCCGGAGAATAATTTTTTAGTCAGTTCATCGGAGAACGGTGAGATGTGCACCTGGGATCTGATCGATGGCAAGTGCACCGAGGCTGTAAAGCTGCCACAGGTGCATACACAAATCCAAAGCTATCACACCGCGAACAGCGAGGATGTTCGCCTCTTCTGCATTGGCTACTATGCAGAGATTATGGTCATGGATCCGTTTAGCCTGGAGGTGATCTATGTGCTCAGCTCCAAGGTGAAGCCGGACTGGATATCTGCCATACATGTGCTGCGTCCGATGCGTCGCAAAGATGATGTCGTGCTGGCCATCACGACCACCGGCACCGTCAAAGTCTGGACATTGACGGGCAACGAGAACAAGCATGCGGAGCCCATTTACGAGAATGAATCGAAGGAGATACGCTGCCTGAACGCCATCACCATGAATTGTTGTGCACAGAATCAGCGCACTGTGCTCCTGGTTTGCACCAAGTACTGGCAGATCTACGATGCCGGCGACTTCACCGTACTCTGTTCGGTTATAGCGCCAGCTCGAGAACGCTGGCAGGGTGGCGATTTTATCACCTCGGATCGTGTAATGCTCTGGACGGATGAGGGCAAGGGATATTTGTATAAGTTACCCGCGAATTGTATACCGGATAATAAGGAGTTCCATTCCAAAAGCGTTGTACGCGATGCACCCTATCTGTATTATGTGCTGCAGCATGCCGGCGATAAGGTGCTCTCGTGCCCGCCGGCCATGAAGCTGTTGATGGGTCAGCAGACGCATTTTCTGCTGCGCGGCGACTCCGAGGGCTACATATCGGTGTGGAATGTGCCGGAGGTGCCATTGGATAATATTAGCATATTGCAGGCCAAGCAAATGCCGCCACGCATACAGAAGCCGCATGTGTGCACCTCGTTGGTGGAGGCCTGGTCGATTATGGACCCACCGCCGGTGGGCATACTCGACCAATTGTCGCGCATCACCGAGTCGCCGGTGAAGCTAACATCGAGCATTTATTTGCCACAGCAGAGCCGCTTGGTCATTGGACGCGAGGATGGCAGCATTGTGATTGTGCCGGCGACACAGACGGTTATGATGCAGCTGCTTGTCGGGATTAAGCAGAACTTCAGTGATTGGCCATCGCATCAGATACTCTATGGCCATCGCGGACGCGTCAATTGTTTGCTGTGTCCGTCCATGGTGCATCCGCGCTATGAGAAATCCCATCTACTCTCCGGCGGCATTGATTTCGCCGTTTGCTTATGGGATCTGTAC